GGAAAATGTTGTTATTGTATTTGTTTTAAAGTTAAACTACAAACTAAGTTCCTCCTAAAGTTAATGCAGCCTATGCCCAGGAATGAGCCAGGACAGCTTGGAGGTTAGAAGCATGATGGAGTCTGTTAGGTTAGATCTCTTTCACTGTCATAATTTTCTGAGTTATAATTTTTGCAAAGGTGGTTTCAATATCTTTACACCAACATCTAGATTAGTGTTTTACCAAATATCTGCCTGTTATGGCCTAACTAAGTTGACGTGTAAAATTAACCATCACAACAGCATATAGTTGCGGCTTTAAAAATCCAGTCTGACAGTTTCTGCCTTGTGTTTGCATTGTTTAATCCATTCACATTTAATGTCATTATTGATATAGTTGGATATATTTCCATTTTACACTTTTTCTGTATCATTTGTTTGTTCTTCTGTTCATCCTTTGCTGCTTTCCTTTGCAATTAGTGAAAATTTTATAAAGTAACATTTCAATTCTTTCAATTATTTTTTCACTATGTTTTTTGAGTAATTTCCTTAGTAGTTGTTTCAGGACTTGCAATATGCTTCGCTTATCAAATCTACTCAACTTATTAAAATCTACCTCAGTTTAATGCTAAATTAATTTCAGTGAGATATAAAAACTTTATTCCTATATATCGGTATTATCTATTATTCCTCTTTTTTCTATTATTATACATAGTACATCTACATGTTATAGACCCAGCAATACATTATCATACTTATTACTTTATGTAATGTTTTGTCTTTTAAATAAACTAAGAGAAGAATGGACAGCAAGTATGTATTTTTAGCCGTTGTTATACTAACCATTGTATTTACCATTTCTGGTTTTCTTCATTTGTTCCTATGTATTTGAGTTACCATCTAGTGTCATTTATTTAGAAGAACACAGATTTGCTCACTCCCACCTTCTTTGTGCTATTATTGGCAAATATATTATATTTCTCTGTGTTATAGGCCCAAACATACAAAAAAGTATATACATATCATTTTGTACAGTTAGTTGTTCTTTAAGTCAGCTAATGGAAGAAAGGAGAAGAAACATGCATTTATGCCATTTCTTAATTCCATAATTGTCTTTATAAGCATGGATTAAATAATTATTTATTATTGATATTTATTCCATGTCTTTATAAATATGGATTCAAATTTCTGTCTGGGGTCAATTGCTTGTGACTGAACAACTTCCTTTAGGATTTCCTGTAGAGCAGGTCAGCTAGCAACATTTTCTTAAAATTGTTATCTGGTAATGTCCTTATTTTGCCTTTATTGTTTAAACATAGCTCTGCTGGACATAGGATTCTTGGGGATAGTTTTCTGTTTGTTTGTTTTTGTTTTTTCTTTCAGCACTTCGTACATGTCATTCCCCTGCTTTCTGCCTTCTATTGTTTCTAATAAGAAGTCAGTTGTCAACCTACTGGGGTTCTTTCGTAGGTTATGAGTGTTTTTCTCTTTCTTATTTCAAGAGATTTTTTCCTTGTCTTTGGCTTTCAGCAAATGTACTGATATGTTTATGTATAGACGTCTTTGTGTTTTTCCTGCTTGGTGTACGTTAAGCCCCCTTGATGTGTAGGTTAATATTTTTCATCATATTTAGGACGTTTCCAGCCATTACTTCTTCAAAAATTTTTCTGTTCCTTTTTCTACTTTCTATTTGGCATACCCATTATGGAAATGTTGATACGCCTAATGGTGTCCCAAATTCCCCTGAGACTGTTTTTCTTCATTAGTTTTCTTTTTGTTCTTCAGACTGCATTATCTCTTTCTGCCGATCTTCATGTTTGCTAATTCTGTCTTCACATCTACTATTGAGCTCCTCTACTGAGTTTTTCATTTCAGTTATTGTACTTTTCAACTCCAGAACCTATATTTGGTTCCTTTTTAATAATCTGTATCTCATTATTCTCTGTTTGATAAGACATTGCCATAATACCTTTCTTCATTTCTTTAAGCATGGTTTCCTTTACTTTTAGAATATATTTGTAATGGTTACTTTAAAGCTTTTGTCTGTTACAACTGATGTCTGGTCACTTTCACAGTTTCTGTTGCCTGGTTTTTTTCCTATATGTGACACAAACTTTTATTTTTTTTGCATGTGTTGTAATTTTTTTTTTAACTGAGCTCTGAACTTTTTTGATAATATAGGTTGGTAACCGTGGGTACTATTCTCACCAAGGGAGTTGTTGCTGTTTGCTAGTTTATTGTTTAGTGACTTGCTGAGCAGTTTCAGTGAAGTCTTTCCCTTCCTGTGTGAAGCCTCAGAGGTTGTTCCTCAGAGGGTGCAGACCTGGGCATGGGCACAGTCATCCCTGGATGACAGTGATTTTTGCAGGGTTCTTGACTGTCTCTTTTCATGACTACATCCAGCTATTAAACTCCACTAAGTTTAATATTAATCCAGCTATTAAACTTGACTAATCTCTTATTTCTTATTGGTTTCAACAATGCTCTGGGGTGTGAATTTCTCCAAAAACTGATCCAATTAAATTATATGGGTAATTTGAAGTCAGGGTTTAAGCTTCATCTTTACCCCAGGAGGGCTCTTCATAGCTGTCTTTTTCCTTGGTTCTCTTCAGTAAACTACCTAGCATATGGTTTGATTTATACCTGTAATGGAGCTAGCTATCAGTCACCTCTTAATTGCTTTCCATCAAAACTTCCTTTTTTTTTTTTTTTTTTGAGATGGAGTTTCACTCTTGTTGCCCAGGCTGGAGTGCAATGGTGCAATCTCAGCTCACTGCAACCTCCCACTCCCAGGTTCAAATGATTCTCCTGCCTCAGCCTCCTGAGTAGCTAAGATTATAGGTATGTGCCACCATGCCCAGCTAATTTTGTATTTTTAGTAGAGACAGGGTTTCTCCATTTTGGTCAGGCTGGTCTTGAACTCCTGACCTCAGGTGATCCACCCGCCTTGGCCTTCCAAAGTGCTGGGATTACAGGTGTGAGCCACTGCACCTGGTCTGTTTTTTACAGCATCCTTAGGCTTTAACTTCCTCCATCCTCTGTTTCAAATTAAGTCAATTAAATTGGGGAGAGCAGAGGTGTTCTCTGTCTTATGGCCCAACTCTCCCCCTGGGCAAAACCTCTGAGCTGGGATAATGGAATGCTTTTCTGCTTCAGGGCTGGATGTTCAGTGGAGGACAGTAGTCTCTGGTCTTCTTGGCTTGCCTCTCCAAGCATAAAACCCTTTCCCTATGAGTGAGCCAGGGCACAGTCCCCAGTATAGCACCTCATGCCCAAGGCAGCCTTCACCTTATGAGTAGGGGCTGAGTCGAAGAAGGGAGACCCAAAGTCATAGCTATACTTACCCAAAACATAACCTCTGCAAAAGGTTGCTAAGGATGGGATGAGAAATGCTAACCTTCTTCTCCTTATAGAAATATACCTTAGCCCTTGATTGGAAGCTGGGGGAAAAGGGAGTCTAATATTTTTGGCTGAACCTGCCTAGAGTAACATTCTGTCACACTGGCCTGTGGGAAGAGAGGAGAGGATGTGGACCATGGATTTCACTGTTCTTAACAAGTCTAATAGATTTCCTTGAATACATGTTTCTTCATTTGCTGTATGCCCTTAGGATCCGCTATGGTTTGAATGTGTTTCCCACATTTCATGTGTTGGGAACAGAACCCCCAATGTGGCAGTATTGAAAGGTAGGGCATTTAAGAGGTGATTGGATGCTGAGGGCTCTGCTTTCATGAATGGATTAATCCATTGATTAATGGATTGATGAGTTAACATGGAAGTGGAACTGGTAGCTTTATAAGAAGAGGGAAAGCAACCTGAGTAAGCATGTTAGCATGAGATTAAGCATGTCAGCACTCTCACCAGGTGATGTTCTGTGCTGCCTTCAGACTCTGTAGAAAGCCCCCACCAGGAGTAAGCCCTCACCAGATGCTGAGCCACGCCTTTGGACTACCCAGTCTCCATAATTGCAATAAACAAATTGCTTTTCTTTATATAAATTACCCAGTTTTAGGTATTCCGTTATAAGCAACAGAAAATGGACTAAGGCAGGATCATTACTAAAGGCTTTAAGCAGTTATATTTTAAAATAACTTTCACCAGTTTCACTGGGGTACAGGTTTACAGACCTGTTAAACTGTTATTCTGGAAGTCTCAAAATTATTCCGTATCAAGTCTTACTGACTTTTTCTCTCTCCTTCATAAAACAGAGTCAGTTCTTATTGTTCTTTCTATGTGTTGAACATTCTGTGGTTGTAACAAATCATATTTGTTTATCTCAGTGTGGCTTCAATTTTTCATGAGGTGTCTGATTCACCTCATGAAAAAACAAGTTATGTAATCCTAATTTCTTAATCTATAGAAAAATCAATGTGTTCTGAAATAACTGGACAAAAATGTCTTGAAAATTATGCCAAATTTCTGCTCTAACATGTTTGGATCAGTTTCCTGAAACTACTTGGTCTAGTCAAGGTGACTAAAGAGCATTAATATCTGCAACATTTATCTTGAAAACATAGACCGTGGGGTCCAGTGAGTTTCTTAGGAAAAGTCCTTTTAAATCTTGCTGAACTTCTTAGCTCCCATTCCCTTCAAAGGGCACTTGTCATTACAAACTCATTACTGTTATGTTTAAAAGCTTTTTTACTCTCTTGAGATGATTTTCTTCTTAAGGATCCAGGTGATAAAATCGTTTTTCTGTTTTAAATGCTTTAAGTTGTCTTTCAAAGTATTAAAGTACACATCGTAGCATGTTAATTCATAGTCTCTCTACCATCTGAGTACCTTTTTCCTCTCCTCTGGTCCTCACTCTTCTTTCTCTAGTGAATTATTCATTACTCACAACTTATCAAATTATACGTGAGCGCTGAAGTGCTATTCAAGAAGTCTCTTAGAAATGACTCAAACTTTCTGTTTTAACATCTTTTAATATTATCCCTCAATTTAGCTTTTATGAAGCCACCCAGGCTAAAACAGATGCCTAAAGGGTATCTGCCTCTATAATTTTTGTTTTGAAAATACAGGAGATAGTGTCCAAGGAATTATCTGGGCAATCTGAAGATGAAGATGTACAAAACGAAAGAAAGAGAATCCTGGAGCAGCCTCAGGAGTTGCTGGATTCTATAGTACTTATTAAAGAACTCATAAAGGTAATATAATTCAATGGCTAACGTACACTGGCTTCATTTCTACTTACAAGTGTGCCACTGGTGCCAAGGGCTCACTGTGGTTCTTTGGGCTCTATATGTATTCTCCCAGTAGAACAGAAGAGTTATCATGAAACTGTCTCAAGTAGTGATCCATAGGGGTCTGAGATATTACTAATTGTACTTTACCTATAAGTATTCTTTACTGAATTGTGTTTCCTGGATTTTTTTTTTAGATATATTTTAAGTGCCCAGCCATTCTGGCTGTAAAAAATATCTCCCTTGCAATCCAAAAGGGGGAGTGCTTTGGATTGCTTGGATTCAATGGAGCTGGAAAAACAACTACTTTCCAAATTTTGACTGGGGAAGCGAGCCCTACCTCTGGAGATGTGTTGATTGATGGCTTTAGCATCACAAAAGATATCCTACAGGTAAGAGGCTGTTACAGTCTAAGATGTGAGAAGCATAATGAATGACTCAGGTTCAGGTAACAGGTAGGTGGCTAGGGAAGGGAGATGGGAAATATGGTATGTATTGATATTTATTTTGTTGATGCCGTCAGTGGATTCTGGAGAGGGAAATAAACTTTTGAAGAGTGAAGCAGTAAGAGCAGAATCTAAAACAAGAGTGTCTTCTGTGATCTTTGTTAAAGTAAAAGGCAAGTTCTTTCAACATTACATCTAACATATGCCAGACAAGGTATGGTAAAGGTGTAAGAATGGTAAGGCTAGGCAGAAGGAGAAGATGACCTGCAATTCAGTTGCACCTGAGGCCTTGCTCCGTCTTACTGAGAGCTCTGCAGCAAGATGGCCTTTCACAAGTCCCCCAGGTAAAGCAAGGTCACTAGCCTTTGTATCTCTGCATCTGCCAGTCATTGGCCACACATGCCACCTGGAAGAGAGGGTATAACCTTGGAAAGAAGCTAAGTGTGGGGAGAATTTCAAGAATAGGAGAATTAGCAAATGTGTCAAACGCCAGGAAGACTAAGGCAAGGTAAAGCCTGGATAATGTACATTGGCTTTAGTAAGTAGAACTTCATTGATGAGGTTGGCAAGAGCAATTGCACTAGGGTTAAGTAGGTGGTAGTAACAAGAGCGTGAATAGTGAATTCATTTCTCCTCACTTCATCACATCAGCCACTATCACCATAGAAGTAGGAAAATGGAGTTGGCAGAGTCTGCATCCTGCGGGATAAACAGTAGTCTAGTTTATTAGTCCGTTCTCATCCTGATAATAAAGACATACCCGAGACTGGGTAATTTATAAAGGAAAGAGATTTAATTGACTCACAGTTTCACATGACTGGGGAGGCCTCACAATCACGGAGGAAGGCAAATGAGGAGCAAAGTCATGTCTCACATGGCGACAGGCAAGAAAGCTTGTGCAGGGGAACTCTCATTAAAACCATCAGATCTCATGAGATGTATTCACTATCACAAGAACAACACAGGAAAGGCCTGCCCCTGTGATTCAATTACCTCCCACCGAGTCCCTCCCATGACAAGTGGGAGTTATGGGAGCTACAATTCAAGATGAGATTTGGGTGGGGACACAGCCAAAGCATATCATCTGGTAACCAGAAGTGGAGCTAAAAATGTGGATTATACTTTGAAGAAAGTTAGCTGTGAGGCAAAATGAAGAATGAAAATTCACCCAGATTTGTGATAAGGACAGAAAATATTTCATAGGGTGAATAACTCAAGCACATTTATACTAGAAGGGGAGGAGTTAAAGAAACAGAGGAGGGAGTGATACATGATGGCAGGAGGTGATCTGTTCCTGCCAGGTGGTCCTTGCAAAAAAGTCGGGGAACATGAGGTCTCCCCTAACTATCTTTGTTCATACCATTTGTCCCCTTGGGGAACATAAGGGTGGCATAAAACAGTCCAGTCTCCTGACTGTGAGTAATGGAGAAAAAGTTTAAGTGAATCTGGTACCAAGGAGCAAAAGCTAAATTGGGAACTAAAAAGACAGTTAATACAAAATGTCATATTTTAAAAAAGAACAGGCATATGGGCAAAATGTCAGCCTTTTGCAAGGACTGATTCAAAGTTCAGTAAATCTGAGGGAACTCTTTCAAGCCTCAGAGAATCTCTCCAAGTTTGCTATTCTAAAACATTTATCATATTTTATGTAACAGATGGTAATATTTTCATTTATTCAGACCTTAAAAAATTTTACATTGTCTTTCTATTGTGGTAAAAATGCATAATATAAAAATTGAAAAATGCATAATATAAAAAAGTTCATCTTCATAACTTTTTCCTTAAATTAAATATCTCTACTCATTAAACAACAACTCCTCATCCTTTCATTTACTCCTTTGAATTTGACTATACTAGGTACCTCATGTAAGTAGAGTCATATACTATTTTCCTTGTATATCTGATATACTTCACCTAGCACAATACCTTCAAGGTTCACCTATGTATTTGAATTTCATTCAGTTTGGCTGGGCACGGTGGCTCATGCCTGTAATCCCAGCACTTTGAGAGGCCAAGGTGGGCGGATCACTTGAGGTCAAGAGTTTAAGACGAGGCTGGCCAACATGGTGAAACCCCATCTCTACTAAAAAGACTAAAATTAGCCAGGTGTGGTGGTGTGTGCCTACAATCCCAACTATTTGAGAGGCTGAGGCAGGAGAATTGCTTGAAGCAAGGAGGTAAAAGTTACAGTGAGCCCAGCCTGGGCAACAAGAGTGAAACTCTGTCTCAAAAAAAAAAAAAAATTCATTCAGTTTTATGGCTGATAATATTCCTTTGTATGAGTATACAACATTTTGCTTTTCCATTCATCCATTTATGGTACATTTGGGTTGTTTGTACCTTTTGGCTCTTGCGAATAATGCATCAACATTGATATACAAATATCTGAGCCCCTGCTATTGATTATCTGGGATACATACCTATAGGTGGAATGCAGAATCATATAGTAATTCTATGATTATTTTCATAAGAACTTCTATACTGTATTCCACAGCAGCTGCGTCATTTTACATTCCTACCAGCAATGCACAAGAGTTCCAATTTATCCACGTAATCACTAACTCTTCTTAATTTTTGTTTTAATAGTAGCCATCCTAATGACTGTGAGGTGGTATCCCCTTGTAGTTTTGATTTGCATTTCCCTAACAATTAGTGATATTGGGCATTTTTTTCGTGTGCTTACTGGCCATTTGTATATCTTCTTGGAGAAGTGCCTATATTAATCATTTGCACGATTTTAAATTGTGTTGTTTGGTTTCAGTTGCTGTTGAACTGGAGGAATCCTTTATATATTCTGGATATTAATTCATACATGATTTGTAAATATTTTTTCCCATTACATATAACATATGCCAGACAAGGTGCTATAAGGGTGTAAGGATGGCAAGACTGGGCAGAAGGAGAAGATGACCTGCAATTCAGTTGCACCTGAGGCCTTGCTCCATTTTACTGAGAGCTCTGCAGCAAAATGACCTTTCACAAGTCCCGCAATTGAAGCAAGGTTGCTAGCCTTTGTATCTCTGCATCTACCAGTCATTGGCTACACATGCCACCTGGAAGAGAGGGTGTAACCTGAGAAAGAAGCTTTTTCTGCCTTTTCTGGTATCCTTTGGTGCACACATGTTTTAATATGAAGTTCATTTTATCTAATTTTTCTTTTGTTGCCTGTGATTTTGGTGTCCTATCCACAAAATTATTGTCAAATTCGATGTCATGAAGTTTTTCCTCTATTTTTTTTCTAAGAGCTTTATCAGTTTAACTAACATGTTTAGGTCTTTGATCCATTTTGAGTTTATTATGGTATATAGTGCAAGGGAAGGATCCAACATCAATCTTATTCATGTGAATATCCAGTTTTCTCAACATCGTTTGTTGAAAAGTCTGTCCTTTGTCTATTGAATGGTCTTGGCACCCATGTGTGATTAATTGATCATTTCCTGAGGATTTATTTCTGGATCTCTGTTCTCTTTTACAGATCTATATGTGTGTATTTATGCCACACAGTTTTTCATTACTGAAACTTTTCAGTAAGTTTTGAATTTATAAAGTATGAGTCCTCTAATTTCATCCTTCCTTTCAAAAGATTGTTTTGGCCATTTGGGTCCCGGAAGGTACTACATGAATTTTAGGATGCATTTTTCTACTTCTGCAAAAAAAAAAAAAAGAAAGAAAAAAAAGTTATCAGGATTTTGATAGAAACTGCATTGAATCTGGAGATTATTTGTGACAACAATAGTAAGTTTCTCAATCCATGAACATGGGATGTATTCCTATTTATTTATGTCTTCTTTAATTTTTCAGCAATTTTTATAGTTTTCAGTGTAAGAGACTTTTAACTTATTGGTTAAGTCTATTCCTATGCATTTTACTCTTTTTGACGCTATATAAATTGAATTGTTTTCTTAATTTCCTTTTGGGGAGTTTTATTGTTAGCGTATAGAAATGTAACTGATTTTTTAAAAGAAAAAAAATAGATCAATCTATTAATTTTCCTATACCTTGCACAATATGAACAGAATAGATGCATAAAAATTCAAGAAAAATTAAGAGGAAAATAATAAATCCAGAGAAGAGATAAGTCTATAGAAAAACTCACTTTGATTAACTTGGAAAGTGCCACAACATTACCACTAAGCTTCTTAGAATCTATATTAACTATGAGATCTGACTTCATATCAAATGCAACTATCTTTTCCAAATAGAAGTCAGGGTCCAAGCAACCTGACTGAGTGAATATTCAGGGATATAAAACTGGATCATGGTTATAATTTGCTAGGATGCTGCCTTTTTTGTCATTGTTGTTGTATTGTCATTCTCTGCCTGGAGAAAAAAAAATGGGATGGTTGCTATAGTGTTTATAGTAGAGTCAGGAGACAGATGACTTGGTCTCCAGCACCATCGAGTTATGGGAGGATAGGGAAAAAGAACTCCTAGTCAGGGTTATGAAGGTATTACATAGAAGGCCATATTGGTGACCAAACTAGTTCAAATCTATGCATATCAGTCAACTTTGTGCTTGATATTTTGTGGTTTTTCCCACTCAGAGACATGCTGAGCAGCAACTATGGCTCATGGGATATTGGCAGATCTCATTTTAAATACAGGGGTGGCACTCCTTTTTTAAATGTAGAAGTAGCAAGGTCTATGTGAATCAGTCACTTTTTCATGGTGCCAGAGTCCATGGAAACTTGACTTACATCCAGGAATCACACAGCTGGTTTCCATGTTTATTTTTGTTTCTTTGTTTTTTAATGTAAGCATTTATAGTTTGTATGGCTCCCAGTTCCCCTGTTTTCTATCTTTGTCCTGACTGAGAAAACAGAGTGCCTTGACCAAACGGAGTTGCTGTTCAAGGCCAGCTTTATGCCTTCTCCTACAGGCTTGGACACAAGCCAGGGCCTGGAAGGTGCCAAGGAACATTCCAAGACACTGATGAAGTTCTTTAAGTTGTTGCCCAAAACTGAAAGGTCAAACATCTTGCTAAACACATAGAAAGTAGCCCTGGCCCTGAGCCAAATTCTTTAAACACTCTGTAAACCAACTCCCTCCTGATAGCCATACCCAGGTAGAACATCTTTTTTGCTATCCATCACAAGGACACCACAACTCTCATATGTAAATTTTCCTAACAAATGTTTTGGACGGTTATCTAGGGCTTCTTTCTTTGGAATCCCAATTGGCTCTACCTCAGGGTGATGTGGGGCAGTCCACTATAAGAACTCCTCAGCCACCACTTTTGGGGCAACACTGACCATTGGCTCCAAGGACAGAACATAGCTATAAATTTCCCCCTGAACACTGCTTTTGCTGGGCCTCATGAGTTTTTGTGTAGTGTTTTCTTTGTTTTCACTCATCTCTAAGCATTTTCTAAATTCTCTTATGATTTCTTCATTTAGCCATTGGTTGTTTAAGAGTGTGTAGTTTAATTTCTGCAAATTTGTGAATTTTCCAGGTTTTCTCCTGTTAATGATACCTAAATTCATCCAATTATGGTTGGAAAAGGTGGTTTATCTTTTCAAATCTACTGAGATTTAATTTATAGCCTAAAATATGGTTCATCCTGGAAGATGTCCCATGTGCACGTAAAAAGAGTGTGTACTCTGTTTTTTGTTGATTAGTGTTCTGCATATGTTAATTAGATCTAATTGGTTTATTGTGTTATTTAAGGTGTCTATATCCTTATTGATCTTCTGTCTGGTTGTTCTATTCATTAATGAGAGTAGGATATTAAAATATCCAACTATTATTAAATAGAATTGTTTCTTTAATTCTTCTATTTTGAGGATCTGCTATTAGATGTGTAAATGTTTTTACTTTTTACATCTCCATTCTGAATTGAACCTTTTATTAATATGTAATATTCTTTGCTTCTTCTAAATTTTCTTGATTTAAGGTCCATTTTATCTGATATTAGTGTAGCCACCCTTATACCCCATTTGATTACTAAATGCATGAAATATCTTTTTTTCCATCCTTTCATTTTCAGTCTACTTATGTCTTTGGATCTAAAGTGAGTCTCCTGGAGATGGCATCTAGTTGAATCATTTTTTTTTTTTAATTCGTTCTGCCAATCTCTGTCTTTTGATTGGAGAGTTTAATGTATTTATATTTAAAGTACTTATAAGGAGAAACTTATTCCATCATTTTGCTATTTTTTCTGTATGCCTTATAGCTTTTATATCCCCAATTTCCTGCATTACTGGTTTTTTTTTTTTTTTTTTGAGATTGAGTCTCACTCTGTCACCCAGGCTGGAGTACTGTGGCACAATCTCAGCTCATTGTAACCTCCGCCTCCTGGGTTCTAATGATTCTTCTGCCTCAGCTTTCAGAGTAGCTGAGATTACAGGCTGATGCCAGCGTACCAGGCTAATTGTTTTTTCCTATATTTTTAGTAAGAGATAGATTTCACCATATTGGCCAGGCTGGTCTCGAACTCCTGACCTCAAGTGATCCACCTGTCTCAGCCTCCCAAAGTGCTGAGATTACAGATGTGAGCCACCATGCCCAGCCAGCATTACTATTTTCCTTTGCATTTAGTTGATTTTTTTGTAGTAAAACATTTAAATTCCTTTCTCATTTTCTTTTGTAAATATTCTGTAACTATTTTCTTTGTAGTTATCAGACAGTACATTTAATATACTAATGTTATACTAATTTGAATTTATATCAACTTAACTTCAGTAACATAAAAAACTCTGCTCCTTTACAGCTCCATCCCACCCCTTTCAGTTGCTGATGTCACAAAATTACATCTTTATACACTATGTGCCCAAAAACATAATTATTTTAAATGCATTAAAATTTTAAATTGCATAGAAAACAAAATGTAAAGTAACAAACTTTTGTTATGATACTATTAGCTTTTATAATTCCCTATGTATTTACCTTTATTGAGATCTTTACTTCTTATGGCATTAACTTATTGTCCAGTGTCTTTTCATTTCACCTTGTAGGACTTCCTTGAGCATTTCCTACAGGACAGGTCTATTGACAACAAACTCCATCAACTTTCATTTATCTGATAATGTCTTAATTTCTTCTTCACTCTTGAAATAGTTTTACCAGATGCAAGATTCTTGTTTGACAGTTTTCTTCTTTTAACAGTTTTGAGGGTGGATGGGGAAAGGCTTTTCTTCTGGTTCAGCCCATTGCCTCTGGTTGCTGAAGTTTCTGATATCTGCTGATAATCTTGAGAGATTTTTTTTTTTAACGTGATCCTTGGCTTCTGTCTTCCTGATTTCAAGATTCTCTCTCTGGCTTTGGCTTTTGCCAAATTTATAATAACATGTCTTGGTGTGGGTCTCTTTGAATTCATTTTACTTAGAGTTCATTGGGCTCCTGGATGTTTCTATTAATCAAATTTGGAAAGTTTTCAATCATTATTTCTTCAAATTATCTCTCTGCCCTTTTCTTTCTTCTCCTTCTTGAATACCACAGTGTATATATTAGTCCACTTGATGGTATTCCAAAGGTCCCTTAGGCTCTGTTTACATTTCTTTGATCTTTTTTCTTTTTTTCTTTTTTTGATCTTTTTTCTTTCTGTTCCTTGGACTAAATAATTGCCATTGTCCTACAGTAAAGTTAATTAATTGTTTCTTCTGCCTATTCAAACATGACTTTTTTTTTTTTTTTTTTTTTTTTTTTTTTTTTTTTTTTTTTTTTTTTTTGAGATGGAGTCTTGCTCTGTCACCCAGGCTGGAGTGCCGTGGTGCAATCTCGGCTCACTGCAGGCTTTGCCTCCCGGGTTCACACCATTCTTCTGCCTCAGCCTCTCGAGTAGCTGGTACTACAGGTGCCCGCCACCACACCTGGCTAATTTTTTGTATTTTTAGTAGAGACAGGATTTCACCATGTTAGCCAGAATGGTCTAGATCTCCTGACCTCGTGATCCACCTGCCTTGGCCTCCCAAAGTGCTGGGATTACAGGCGTGAGCCACCACGCCCAGCCTCAAACATGACTTTCAATCCTACTAGTTAATACTTTATTTCAGTTATTATACTTTTCCACTCTAGAATTTTTTTATTTCCTTTTAAAGTTTCTACCTCTTATTGATATTTCCATTTTGTTTGTACATCATTTTCTTGACTTCCTCCACATCTCCATTTAGTTTTTAAAGCATCATTAAGACTATTTTAAGGTATTTTTCTAGTATATCTGCCTTCATGTCTTTTTCAGTACAGTTTCCATTCATTTTTTTTTCCTTTCATCCTTTGATGGGTCATACTTTCCTGTTTCCCTCTATGATTCTGAGTTTTATTAAAAACTGGACATTTGACTCTAATAAAGTGGTAATTCTGGAAATTATATTTTCCTCATTCTCCTAGGTTTGCTGCTGTTTGTTACTTTTTATTTATTGTTTTTGTTTTTTGGATTGCTGTCTCTGTGCTTAGGATCAGCCTGGGGTGTGAAAATAAGTTCCTCTCAGGCATTTTCTGAGCCTGTCTTTCCCTGAGCATGTGTGGTTACTTTATAATTTTATTTATACATGCAGTTGTGTTTTAATGCCCTAATACTTAATGTATGAATCCCAAAGAGGAAAATGAGAAAAATGAAGGATGGTGTGTAAAGGGAGCTAGTCTTTTAAAGCCCCTGTCACTTCAAACAGAGGGGTAGGGTCTCATGCCATGCCAGGAGTTTAGGGGGCATGAATAGTTTGGAAACACTGTAAATTAATTAGTAATTTAATTTAATTTAATTTAATTTAATTTGATAGCCTTTTCTCTGGCTCATAGGCTATGTGCACCTCAGTGTAAATCAACAGAAGGGTTTGAATAATTGGTAAAGCAACATTTATTGCAATCTCTGGTGTGGGGATGAATGCGGAAAGGCTTTGCTTCTGGTTCAGCCTTACTCTGGAACAAGATATACATATGGCTCTACAGGTTAAACAAAGCCAAAACATCATGGTGGCCATTCTCCTTGGAGTTCCTGATTAATGAGAAGAGCATCTCATATTCTAATAATCCTCCAAATTTTGTGGCTCTAGAATTTTATTTCTAACTTCTTTATCCCCAAGATCATTAAAACTGAATTATGGAAGCTATTATCCCAATGTCCTACAACAGGTCTGACAGCTATAATTGTGTAGCCCTTTAGGAAAAAAATAATCTTGGTAGGACTCTTGGAAGCATGGCTTGGAGGACTGCAGGTTTGCCATCTCATCCATGGATGTGTAGTGGGATGGATGACTTGGCTGTTTACTCAAGGCAATTTTTGTTATTAGGTAAGGTCAAGAATTGGCTACTGTCCTCAATTTGATGCCTTGCTGGAATATATGACTGCTCAGGAAATAATGATTATGTATGCCAGAATATGGGGAGTCTCTGAGCCCCAGATTAAGCTGTATGTGAACAAATGGTTGAATTCACTGGAACTGGAGTCTCATGCTGACAGGCTTATCAGCACCTACAGGTGAGTCACTATGCTACCGCTCTTTTCTGTTGATGCTGCTAACATTGAGGTGCTTCCTTTTGTTCTTGCTGTTTGAAATGAAGCTTACAGCTCCACCTAAGCTCCGCTTCCCACAATTACCTACTTGTGAAACTATCTAATGTTCTGCTAGGCTTCAGATGCCAGTAATAAGGCAAATCAATACAGTTCTACATCTTCCCTTTGCAGAGATGAAACGCAAAGTCTTGGTTCTATTTGAACTATATCCTCTGAACCTCAAAAAAAGGAGTGTCTTCTCTTTCTAGGGTCCCTATAGTTCTTTGTCTACCAAGTAAGGAGGAATGTAGGCCCTTTGAATTATGATGTGATTTATGTGACTTGGAAACTGTAACACTCTAAGAACATGGGTAAATAAATGCCACTGATAATGCTGCCAAAATTTATTACATAAAAGTCACTCCTCTATATCTCAAATTTAAATGAATTGATATACACATCTGTAATTGGGCCTGCTACCTAATCAAAGTCACATATAATCAGCATTGCGGACGTCCATGTTAAGTGTTTGCTGGGACGCTCAGCATTTGGGAAATTTGTACTATTTCCTATACATAACTGATATGTATAGCCATTTCTTCTCTCACTTTTTCTCTCCTTCTTTGGCCATGAAGTGAAGGAAACAAACGTAGGCTGAGTACTGCTATTGCCCTAATGGGAAGGTCTTCAATCATCTTCCTGGATGAGCCATCAACTGGCATGGACCCAGTAGCCCGACGCCTGCTCTGGAACATAGTGACAAAGACACGCGAAAGTGGAAAAGCCATCGTTATAACCTCCCACAGGTGTGGCTCACTGGGAGGCTTGGTTGAGGGCTAGCGAGAGAGTTGTAGTGGCTGTAAGAGGGAATTATTTAGGCCCAGTGGATAATATTGGACAGTAAACTTGCCTGAGTACGTTAGTTCCTCATTAGGAATTAGGATTCATGTTAATCCTAATAAATCAAATGACTAAAAATCCTCACTGAGTTTAACAAAAAAAGTGAGGAAAAGACAGGACTTCAGAAGATGCTCTATTTGAAAATTGGGCACTATGTTCTTTTTCATTTTAAAAATTCCCACTTCCCATAGACGAGTTTTATGATTGGAAAAATACAACTTCTGATTGAAAATAGGGTCGCAAAATTCTGGCTCTGATTGAACTACACAGTGTCCTCCAAAAGAGAACTTTTTACTTTTACCCTTACAACATTCTGCCCTTTTGTTTTGCAAGTATGGAGGAATGTGATGCGCTCTGTACCAGTCTAGCCATCATGGTGCAAGGGAAGTTCATGTGCTTGGGCAGCCCTCAGCATCTCAAGAACAAGTTTGGCAACATTTACATCCTCAAGGTCAAGGTCAAGACTAAAGATAAATTAGAGGATTTTAAACGTTTTGTTATAACAACATTTCCAGGTAAATTAAGTTGCGCTACCTTTGTCAGAAATATATTACATCGGCCCGGTGCAGTGGTTCACGCCTGTAATCCCAGCACTTTGGGAGGCTGAGGCGGGCAGGTCACTTGAGCTCAGGAGTTTGAGAAATGTGTTAAATCATGTTTGTTGTTCTCACCATCCATATGATTTATGTCTGCAATAGCAGTTTTCTGTGAGTTATTGATAGGTATTGATTTTCTATAATGTTCCTTTGGCAACGTTTGATACTATAAGTCTCTTGTGGCAGATTATGCTAAGTTTCACAAAAAACAGAGGTTCTCACAAACTCTTACATCACCTAACAAGGCAGTTTTATGTTTATAAATTAGTTGGGTGCAGTAGCTCACGCCTGTACTTCCAGCAACTTGGTAGGCTAAGTCCAGAGAACTGCTTGAGCCCCAGGGTTTAGGCTGCAATTAGCTATGATTGTGCTGTTGCACTCCAGTCTGGGTGACAGAGCAAGACCCCATCTCTAAAAAAATAATGATAATAAATAAAAACTAAAAATAAATTATATACCTAAAGTCCTATTTTAGCATAATTCTCAATTAGTTTCACAGATTATTCATGTCAGATTTTAAGGTTTTTTCCTTCACACTACAAATGCAACTTTATGCTTTTACTGTCTCAGCTAGGATATGGTATTGAAATGCAAATAAGAACGTTGCCAAAGGAACATTATAGAAAATCAACATCTATCAATAACTCACAGAAAACTGGTATTGAAGACATAAATCATATGAATGGTGAGAACAACAAATACAATGTAACACATTTCTCAAGAACATATTTCTCTCCTTTCAAGAGGAGTTTGGTTTCTGAGTGCTGTTTCTTCATGCTAAATTCAGTAGGCACCTCTCTGCCTACATGGAACAGTACAAGAGAGACCATCCATTTCAATCTGTCTCTTATCTCTCTTTCCTTAACCTAAAGTGTGGGCAATGGCAAGGCTTTTAATAATTCTGGCTTTTCATCTTAGTTTCCACTTCGATAGGCTGAGCAAAATACCACAGAAGTTCCTGTTGTGTGTTAGGCTAAGGGGTTGAAAATTTGTCTCCTAGGCAATGGAAAATAGCAAAATTGATTACACAGTAAGAATGAAAATCAGGGTCAGGTACAGTGGCTCATGCTTGTAATCCCAGCACTTTGGGAGGCTGAAGTGGGTGGATTACCTGAGGTCAGGAGTTCAAGACCAGCCTGGTCAACATGATGAATCCCCACATCCATTAAAAATACAGAAATTAGCTGTACATGACGGCGTGCACCTGTGGTCTCAGCTACTCAGGAGGCTGAGGCAGGAGAATTACTTGAACCGGAGAGGTGTAGGTTCCAGTGAGCAGAGGTCATGCCATTGCACTTTAGCCTGGGTGACAGAGAGAGACTTCATCTCAAAAAAGCAAAAAGAAAAGAAAATCAGAAAACAGATATGAAATGGATGGTCAAGCATATGTGAAGAACGAGCTGTGTGGAAAAATTATCACCCCAGTGTTGGTCATAGTGTTTATGGTGTGCCCTTGACACATGTAGATGGATATGTCCATTAAGAAGTTGAATATTCACTTATGCATGTGTGTGGCAAATATTTTTGAGGACTTATTGTGTCAGAGTTCGATTTGATGTGATCAATAAATCACTTTAAGAAAGCTCTATAGGCTAAGGCACGGTGGCTCACACCTGTAATCCCAGCACTTTGGAAGGCCAAGGCGGGCGGATCACAAGGTTAGGAGTTTGAGACCAGCCTGGCCAATATGGTGAAACCCCATCTCTACTAAAAATAGAAAAATTAGCCAGGCATGGTGGCAGGTGCCTGTAATCCCAGCTACTCGGGAGGCTGAGGCAGGAGAATCGCTTGAACCCGGAAGGTGGAGGTTGCAGTGAGCTGAGATCGTGCCACTGGACTCCAGCCTGGGCAACAGAGTGAGACTCCATCTTAAAAACAAAATCAAAAAGCTCTGCACACTTCAGGATAATACAGAAAAACAATTCAACAAAATCAGGTAAACAATAAATTACCCAGACTAGTAACTTAATAGAAACATTGAAATTTCTTCTTAAAAAATCAAACAGAAATCATGGATATGTAATATACAGTGAATAAAATGAAGAATGCAGTAGAAAGCATTAACAGCAGAATTTATCAAGCAGAGAAAACTATCTCAACTCAAATAGGCTTTTTGAAAATATACAGTTAGACAATTAAAAGAAAAATTAAGAGGAATGAAGAAAGCTCATGAGATTTATAGAACAGCATCAAAAGAGCCAGTATTTACATTATTAGAGTTTGTGAGGAAGAAGAAAAAACAAATTGTTAGATTATTTAAAGAAATAAAAGCAGAAGATTTTCCAAATATTAAGAAAAACATAAATATCCAGGTACAAGAGGGTCACATATCTGCATTCGGATTCGATACAAACAAGGCTACATCAAGACATTATAATTAAATGGTCAAAAATCAAGCACAAAGAGAGCATCCTGAAAGCAGCAAGAGAAAAAACAAAAGCAAATAACATATAAGGGAGATTCCATAAGGCTAGCTGCAGATTTCGCAGCAGGGACCTCATGGGCAAGGAGAGAGTGGGATGACATGTTCAAATTACTGAAGAGAAAAAAACCTGCCAACCAAGATACTGTATCCAATACTATGTTGAATTAGAGTAGTAAGAGAGGACATCCTTGTTCTTGTGCCAGCTTTCAAGGGGAATGCTTCCAGCTTTTGCCCATTCAATATATTGGTGGTGGGCTTGTCATATATGGCTCTTATGAGTTTGAGGTATGTCCCTTCAGTATCTAGTGTATTGAAAATTTTTAACCTGAAGGGATGTTGAATTTTATCGAAGGCCTTTTCTGCATCTATTGAGTTAATCATGTGGTTTTTGTCTTTAGTTCTGTTTATGTGATGAATCACATTTATTGATTTGCATATGTTGAACCAGCCTTGCATCCCGGGGATGAAGCCAACTTGATCGTGGTAGACAAGCTTTTTGATGTGTGGGTGGATTCAGTTTGTGTATTTTATTGAGGATTTTTGCGCTGATTTTCATCGAGGCCTGAAGTTTTCTTTTTTGTTGTATCTCTGTCCAGTTTTGGTATCAGGATGATGCTGGCCTCATAGAATGAGTTAGGGAGGAGTCCCTCCTTTGGTCACCAGCCTACATGTACCTGTAGGAGGTAGCTGGAGACCTCTGTTGGAAGGTTTCACTCAGTCAGGAAGAAAGGGATCAGGGACCCACCCAAAGCAGCAGTCTGGCTGCTTTTTGGTATAGCAGGTGTGCTGTGTTGTGGGGGACCTTTCCTTGTTTGGACTGCCTGTATTCTTCAAAGCTGACAGGCTGAAGTGGCTGAGTTGACCAAACCACAGAGATGGCAGCTGCCCCTCCCCCAGGAACTTGGACCCATCTCAGGGAGACTCCAACTCACTGCCATTGGTTCGCTGGGATTCCAAGCCAGTAGGTCTTAACTTGTGATGTGATGTGGAAGGGGGGCCTGCAGAATGTACTGCTTGGCTCCCTGGATTCAGCTTTCTTCCTAGGGATATGTACAGATGGACCTCCCACCTTGCCAAGGATCCCAAGGCTGGAGTATATAAAACTCCTGGGTCTCTGTGTATACCTGAGTGGATGCTCTGTCAAGACTTCACAGAGCTCTGTGTATCAGACCCAAGGCCCTGGTGGTGTGGGCTCATAAGGAGATCTCTTGAGCTGTGGGTTACAAAGACCCATGGGAAAAGCATGGTTTCCTGGGCAGGGTCTCACAATCACTCGATGCTTCTCTTGGCTAGGGGTGGGGGTTCCTTTGGCTCCATGGGGCTCCTTGGTGGGCCATCTCCACCCCGTGCTCTTCCTTGTTCTCCATGGGTTGAGTTTTTAGCCAAGTTGGTCCCAATGTGAGAATCTGGATATGTCAGCTGAAGGTGCTAAATTCACTCACTCCTCTCCATTCTTCTCCGTGAGTACTGTGAACCACAGCCACTTCTAATAGGCTGTCTTGGATTGGGTCCCTCTGCAAACATAAGACTTTTAGAAAGCTCAGGTTTTTCATATTGGGCATGTCAGCTGATAATTTATTGTACCTCAAATCCTGCCTTCAATAATTGCTATGAACTCCACATAATAAGATGATTTCATAAGGAATAAATCTGCTAAAAGCATTAATCATGTCATGGATACCAAAGAGAGTGGGTTAGCGGGTCATATCTCCTTTCATATTGACCTCCTCTATTCACCCCTCCACAGTATATAATTAAATGTAGTAATATTTTGGCAATTTCAAATGAAGCCTGTAAGATTATTCGCCTGTCCTATTTTCCTTTTTTAGGTAGTGTCTTAAAACATGAGAATCAAGGGATCCTTAACTACTACATTCCTAGCAAAGACAATCGCTGGGGAAAGGTGATAGTAGCAACCTTGCCCTTCTAACATTGCATGTTAAGAGAGCACTAACGATGGGGAGTATTTGGGATTCGGGAATGTGGAATGGGAACCTGGCATTGTTGGGGGAGTAGCACCATTAGGCTGCTTTTCAAACACCCCTAGAGTTCAATAGCTACAATTTCTTGTCCTGAATTCCATTATTACTCCATATCCATCAAGCGAATGGGAACAGAGAATGGCCTTCTCTCACTTTCTCAATTCTCTACTCTTCCACCTTCTCACCTCTCCCTTCTGTGCCTTTTGTCCTCCAACATACATTTGATAGGAATTGGGGGAGTGGAGGAGAGGCTCATCTGAGTTGGGGGCTGAAGGGGAGATTGCAATAGTAACTGCGCTTTTGTTGCTGTTGTTAAAGGTGTTCGGCATTTTAGAGCAAGCTAAAGAGCAATTTGATTTAGAAGACTATTCCGTCAGTCAGATCACACTGGAACAAGTCTTCCTGACCTTTGCTAACCCAGAGAAAGTATCCAGTGATGATGAAAACGAGGTGCCATGAGATTCATTTACAACCAGTGACCCTCGTGTCTTTCATAGATGACACCTGGATGCATGGGGGAACTTCCTGTGCATGTATATCTTGGTGTAAATATATTTACATAATAAAGATTTTCCCAAAGAAGAAAGTTTGTCCCCTTCATTGCAGATTTAGATGAGCAGCCTGTGTATCCAGCATGCTGAAATCCGAAGACATTTGGTGAAATTCCCGTTTTCTCTCCTTGAGATATGAAAGAGCAGCATTTGTCAGGGTTGGGACAGAAACCTGTTCCTGAGGGTTCTGGACATTTGAACAGAAAGATCCAGTAATGATGGAGCTGTCAGATGGAACAGCCCAAAGAACAAGAGCTTTATGTTTTAGCAGTTGAGTTATGGATAAGAAGAGCATAAGGCCTGGATCACATCAGCTTTCCCATGGATACACACACACACACACACACCACACACATTCACACTCACACACAGGTGCAGATATACATGCACATACACATATATCTAATATAAATCATCAATGTTGGAGGGCTGAGTTGGGTTACTATTTCAGACATCCAAAATAAAGTTCATATGCTTCAGTTGAAAGAGAATTTTTGCACCAAGAACATTTGGGGTCCATGACCAGAAAAAAAAAAGGATTATTTAAAAATAATGTGTTTTCTTTTCTACCATTGTCTCCCCTCTAATAAAGAAGAAAAGAAGAAGAAATAAAGTGAAGAGGGAGGGACACAGAGATATTTTCTTCTGACTCTTGCCTAGGCAGATACTTGGAGTCCCCCATAAATAATACGAGAAATCTAATCACCTCTTCAGGATTCATAGACAACTGAGTAGAAAACTAGGATGGTTCTTGTAGAATTGCAAGATGAAGAGAGTCTATAAGGCTGCTCTATTTTGGGGTGACTTGTTCAATGTTTTCAAATCCTTACTTGGATATTGTTGATTGTAAAGTGACATCCACCAGATGCTTACTGTTTTTTGTTTTTGTTTTTGCTTTTTTTAGATAAAGAGGGAATTTGAGTTTGTTTCTATGAAGTGTCTAGGAGTATAAGAAGTCTCCAATTAAAACAAAATTGAATTTACAGCTCTTTCTCTGGTTCGTAGGCTATGCTCACCTGAGTGTAAATCAACAGAGGGGTTTGACTAATTGCTAAAGCAACACTCACTGCAGTCTGCAGGTTGGCGGGGTGGGGAAAGACTTTGGTTCTGGTTCAGCCTTTATATGGACAAGATGTTGTACAGGTTGAACAGTGCAAATACATCCATGGCGGCCATTCCCCTTGGAGTTCTTGATTAATGAGAAGACCATCTCATAATCTGGTACTCCTCCAAAATGAGTAGGCTCTGGAATTTCATTTCTAACTTCTTCATCCCCAAGATCATTAAAACTGAATTATGGAACCTACTATTCCAATGTCCTACAATAGATCTGACAGCTATAATTCTGTAGCCTTTTAGAAGAAAATATCTTGGTAGGACTCTTAGAAGTATGGCCTGGAAGACTGCAGGTTTGCCGTCTTATCCGTGGTTGTCTAGTGGGATAGATGACTTGGGTTTTTACTTAATACAATTCTTGTAATTAGGTTAAGGTCAAGAATTGGTTATTGTCCTGAATTTGATGTCTTGCTAGAATATATGACTGCTCAGGAAATAATGATCATGTATGCCAGACTATAGGGAGTCTCTGAGCCCCAGATCCAACTGTAAAGAAATGGTTGAATTCACTTGAACTGGAGCCTCATGCTGATGAGCTTATCAACACCTACAGGTGAGTCATTATGCTGCTGCACCTTTTGTTGATGCTGCTAATGTTTGAGGTGCTTCCTTTTGTCCCTGCTGTTTGAAATGAAGCCCGTAGCAATACCTAGGCTCCTTTTCCCACAGTTACTTAATTATGAAACTGTCTCATATTCTACTAGGTTTCAGATATGAGTAATAAGGCAAATCAGTGTAACTTCACATCTTCCTTTTGCAGAAATGAAACAATAAATCTTAGTTTTATTTGAACTGTAGCTTCTGAACCTCAAAAGCTATCAATGAAGACAGAGTTTAGGATTGCTAAAACAGCTAGAATTTGAAGAGCAGGGTGCTGGTAAAGAGGAAGCGAGAGTCCAGAAATTTGAATGGGGTTTGCTGTGAGTCATGAGCTGGCCTGTGCCATGTGCAAAGGGAGACATGCTGTGAGGCCTATCAGAGAATGGCACCTGCTGGACTGAGAACTGAATGTGTTACCGGTGGAAGATAGCTGAGTTACTGGCGGTGAATCTGTGTGCAGCTGCAGCTACCTCAATTCTTGCCTCCTCAGAAGAAAGAATGCAACAGAGGGGCATAAGGCAGAAAAAGAGACCAAGGCAGGTTTCAGAGCAGGAGTGGAAGATTATTTAAAAGGCTTTAGAACAGGATAAAAAAGGAAAGGAAAGTATGCTTGAAGAGACCCAACCAGGCACCGAGGTCAAGCGCCCTGTTTAACAGTGATCCTAGTACTTTATAGGCTGGCCTCTTTCTCATGATTCTTCCCTTAGGGTGGGCTGCCCGCATGCCTGGTGCCCCCCTCACCCTTTGGAGGTGAGCACGCGCAGCGTGTTCCGGAAGTTGTCCACATGCCCATCTGAGGCTTTCTTCCCTCAGAAGTTCTAGTGGAGTAACCCTGGAAAGTCATACTCCGCCATTTTGTTTCTTAATGCACATGCCCAGGAAGTTGCTACTCCCTGGTGTCTGCATTCAATTAACATCGTTAATTTCGTGCAACAGGTGTTGACTATCAGGAAATGGCCTCTCCAATTTTTTTTTTTGGAGACGGAGTTTCGCTCTTGCTGCCCAGGCTGGAGTGCAGTGGTACAATCTCGGGTCACCGCAACCTCCACCTCCTGGGTTCAAGTGATTCTCCTACCTCAGCGTCTCGAGTAGCTAGTGCCCGCCACCATGCCCAGCTAATTTTGTATCTTTAGTAGAGTCAGGGTTTCTCCATGTTGTTCAGGCAGGTCTCGAACTCCCGACCTCAGGTGATCCACCTGCCTTGGCCTCCCAAAGTGTTGGGATTACAGGTGTGAGCCACCGCACCTGGCCCAATTTATCACTTTTAGAGAGGCAATGTGATAACTGCCAAATCATCACCCGACATTCCTGGTGGGTGGGGAGAGAGCCCTCTCCTGCCCCGCTCATACCTGTCTAACTACCTGTAACAAACGTAGACCCGGAGTTTACATAGTGCAGAGAACGTCGGAATTCTTACTGAGCCACAGTAGAGACACCTTACTGAGCACCCCTTATAGTTTTAACTCCAGAAAAGCTATGCCTTAGAAGTAAAGATCATGTCCTAGAATAAGATCAAAAACGTAAATAGACCCACCCTAACAAAGAATAAAATAAAAGCCTGACAAAATCAAAGGGAGCATGTGAAATATACGAAAGCTGGGGAAAGACATTTACTTCTGTGAACCAAAAGTATCTGAGACAGGTCTCAATCAATGTGGAAAGTTTACATGGCCAAGGTTAAGGATCAGTGCCTGACAGCCATGTATATGCCTTTCTCTAAAGATGATTTTGAGAGCTTCAATATTTAAGGAGAAAGGATTGATATGGGTGAAAAGGAAGAAAATTTAAAATGTTAATTTCAGCTCTTTGGGAGGCCAGTCCAGTGGACTGGCCTCAGGAGTTTGAGAACAGCCTGGGCAACATGGTGAAACCCCATCTCTATCAAAAATACAAAAATTAGCCAGATGTGGTGGCATGCGCCTGTGGTCCCACCTACTCAGGAGACTGAGGTGGGAGGACTGCTTGAGTTCAGGAAGTGCTGGAAGCACTCAAGCCTGAGTGACAGAGTGAGACTCTGTCTCAAAAGAAAAGGAAAAAAAAATTTTTTTAAATGTGTGGGTAGACAAAGGGTTGCATCCTCTTGAATCTTTGATCAGCCTTTCACTGAATATACAATTTACATGTGAGAGGATGGGCAGAGGAATAGTCACTTATGTCATTGTCTGGCCCAGAGAATCTTCATTATTTTTACATAATATAATGTAAACAATAGGGCAGAGGAAGCAATCAGATACACATTTGTTTAAGATGGACTTTCAGTTCTGTCCTTTGTCCTGAACCTGTGAAAATAAGCTATCAGGCCTGGTGCAATGGCTCACGCCTGTAATCCCAGCACTTTGGGAGGCCAAGGTGGGCAGATTACCTGATGTCAGGAGTTCGAGACCAGCCTGGCCAACATGGTGAAACCCTGTCTCTACTAAAAATACAAAATTAGCCCAGCGTGGTGGCGCATGCCTGTAATCCCAGCTACTGAGGAGGCTGAGGTGGGAGAATCCACTTGAAACCGGAGGTGGAGGTTGCAGTGAGCTCAGATAGTGCCATTCTACTCCAGCCTGGGCGACAAGAGTG